TAATTTTTAAAATTACAACGACCTATGATTATATGAAAAGACATTATAATTTACATGGCTATCGGTCACGTTGAAACAGGCAAAGTTCGATAGAACGATTTGCCTCTCCCTGCTTATAACCTGACGCTATCAAACCTTTCAGTCATAACCTGAAAATACAAACCAAAAACAAGACTGTTACTTTAATTAAAAACCTACATAATTAAATCAGAACGGTTTATTTTTGTCACGAGAGTTTTGTCTCTCTCTGCTTACAACTCTGACTTTATGAAACTTCTCAATCCATACCTTAGATGAAAACTCAATAATTACTAGAGTATGATATGCGCGAAAGAAAAGAAAAAGATGGAAAACACGTAGAGGGCCGGCGATGACCTCAGCTGTTTGTTGGCCCATAAACTTCCCACTTATTATTATTACTAGAGTATATTGTTTACTAATCTTGAATTTGAATGTATCTTTTGAATATGTGATGGGCGACTTGCCTCTCCCTGCTTATAACCCTAACCCCATTTAATATTTCATAGATTTAAAATTACAACGACCTATGAATTTTTAAAAAGACATGATAATTTACATGGCTGTCTGACAAGTTGAAACACGCAAAGGAAAAACGATTTGCCTCTCCCTGCTTATAACCCTAAGGCTATAAAACCTTTCGATATAGTGTACTGTGAGGGTAATCTCAGGCGGAGATTTGAGTCGGTTGGTGAGGAAAAATCACGTTTTACTTTCCAAAGGTAATTGCAGACACACACTAGTGAATGCTTTATCCACCAGTGATTGACTGATAGATCAACTTGATGGCTGTTCCAAACGTATGCCCAATCCTCCAAATATGAACGAGCCGAATCTGTAAAACAATATTCAACAATTATTTCATATATCATCATTAAATGTTAGGAGATCTGTTGTGTTGTTTTCTATTTATAAACTACGACGAGATCTATCCACCCTTGTTATACACGGTTCACCGATTCAATTTGACAAGTTTCCCTTTTGTCTAAATATTCCATCTCTCGAATTTATTATGAGCAGTATAGTCGGTCCCGTGAGGGAAAGTAGGCCGTCATAAATCCCAGTTTAACCAATTCAAATGAACCTTCCCTGCTAAATTGGAGAGACGGGAGGGAGTAGTCGCCCCCGATGGTTTTGCACAGCGTACACGGCCTCCTATATCTACTTATACTGTGTCGGATCTAATTCAAATAATTAAATCCCTCGTTAACGACGTGTGGCCCACTTTTGTTTCCCAATTTGCTTTTGTAATAATCTTACGGCCCCCTGACACTTCATATCAAATCGATTAACTCGTTTAACCACGCGCTCGAAACTATTGGCAATAGATTTTGACATTTCACAACGTTTTATACGTGAGACCCTACAGTACAACATGTTTTCTTAAAAAAGTATGATGCAGGTAGGAAAAGACTGTAGACTGATGTTTGGGTGATAACCAGGTTATGTGAAGACTCATTACAATCAAAAAACGATACGATTTAAGGTTTGAAAGGTGATCGACAGGTTGTATAGCGTCAGGGATGTAAGCAAGGAGAAGCGAGACAACCGATACAAACACAATCAATACATGCTTTCTTATTCATGCATCAATAAACAATAAACAACAATAATTAACTTTTAAGATGCTGAGTTTGTAGATTTAAGTTTTTGTTTGAGAGGTTTCGTAGCATCCCGTGATATAAGCAGGGAGAGACAAGACGATAACAATCACAAACGATACATTCTCAATCAAATATCAATAACAAAATCCAAAAATTGAAAGGTTTCTGATTTAAGATTTGCTAGGTGCTCCATGGGTTTGTAAAGCGTCAGGGGTATAAGCAGGGTGAGGAAAGATGTTCATGATAAACTCAAAAGATACGTTCTCATTCATACATCAGTCGAGCGTAAAATAAAGTTATTTAGTATAAACGTAGGAGTGAAGAAAAGACTGTAAGATATTGTACCGTAAGATAGGTTCTATAGTGTCAGGGTATAAGCAGGGAGAGGCAAATTTTTCCACTGTAATTTGCCTGTGCTCAAGTGAACGACACCCACGTCAATTCTCAAGTCTGTTCCTTCGCATATTATTATAAATATACATCGTTGTAAAAAATTTAAAAATGAAATCTATCAGGATTATAAGTATGACATAGATGAAAAAAGACGTGTCAGATGGCGTCAAGGTTATAAGGAGGGAGAGGCAAGACGATAACAATCACAAAAAAGATACATTCTCAATCAAATATCAATAACAAAATCCAAAAATTGAAAGGTTTCTGATTTAAGATTTGCTAGGTGCTCCATGGGTTTGGAATGCTTCAGGGTTATAAACAGGGTGAGGTAAGATGTAAAAAAGATACGTTCTCATTCATACATCAGTCGAGCGTAAAATAAAGTTATATAGTATAAACGTAGGACGTGAAGAAAAGACCGTACGATATTGTACCGTAAGATAGGTTCTATAGTGTCAGGGGTATAAGTAGGGAGAGGCAAATTTTTCCTGTCCAGGTCAATTCTTTTGACTGCTCTTACACATAAAGTTACAAACATACATCGTTGTATACATTTTCAAAATGAAATTTAAAAGAAAACAAATGAAATAGGTGACAGTAGTCAGGGTTATATGGAGAGAAATGCAAGTCGCTCGAGACACACAAAATGTCGTTTCAAAAAAGACATCAATAAAAATGATGACAGGTGGGTAATGTCCATAGTCAAATGAGGTCAGGGTTATAAGCAGGCTGAGATAAATGGCACTTGACAAACATAAACGATAAATTCCCATTCATACATCATGAAAAAACAATCTTCAAAACTTAAAACGTTTAAATTGAAGTGTTTTTTTTACGAGAGTTCGCAACAGCAGAGGTCATATAAACCCCCAGGGTGCCGGTGATTTTGAAAAAAAGCCCATTTGTAAGTATGTCGGGTTCGAAGGCAGGGCTGCTGGATTCGAACCCGGGACCTTCACCTTAATACTTAGTGATGAGCGCCGTATCAACGCCTAAACCGTTGCGGCCACCGACGCCCCCAAGTGTTTTATTGAAAGGTTGTACAGCGTCAAGGTTATAAGGAGGGAGAGGCAAGTCGCTCGAGACAAACAAATAATGTCGTTTCAAAAAAGACATCAATAAAAATTATGAGAGGTGGAAAAATGGGTTTTATAGCATCGGGGTTATAAGCAGGCTGAGCCAAAATGCTCTTGACAAACACAAATCATAAATTTTAAACATGAACAATTGAAAAATTTTAAGATTTACGGTTTTGATTAAGAGTTTTCATATAACTTCATAAGAGCATCATATAACTCATATCAATTATACTATCAGTAAACAATAAAAATCAATTAGAAGGTTTCTGAATTAAGGTTTGATAGGTGACCAATATATTGTACAATGGGATACAAAATCGAAATGTTCCTAACAAACGTAAATGATTTTGATTTTTTTAATTTAAGGTTTTGATCGATAGGTTGTACAGCGTCAGGGTTATAAGCAGGTGGAGGAAGTATGTTTCTGTTAAATACAAACGATACATTCTCATTCATAAATTATTAAACAGCAATCACAAAAAATGTTAACTGACGTGTCTAAACATACAATGGATTGTGAAAATGTTAAAGTAATAGAAAAAGAAAATAACAATGAAAAACAACTGTGGCTATGGAATATGTATATATAAATTTGGAAAAATAATAGAAGTATTATGTTCAAAAACAGAAACATAAGATACCTCAAAATGTTAATATCTACGTTATTTACGTGGTAAAAGAGGAAGTGTCCTTATTTGAGCGCCAACATCCCTAGTTTAGTCAGCTTGTCATTAAAAATAAATTGGACGCCAGATAGATATCAGTATGTAAAAAATATATTACATTTTAAGTCCGTTATGTTTCATGGTCCTATTGACCAAATAACTTCTTTCAATTAATTAATTTTTTTAAAATATTTTTTATTATGTAAGGTATTGATTGAAATGAAAAAGCTAGTGTCGCGAGCGGGATTCGAACCCACATTTGGAAAATGGCAAAAAGGAGGAAAAAATTGAGATGGGGAGTTGGTGTCCGAGTGGATCGAAGTCATGATAGCTCAAGTGGTTAGAGCAGCGGCGTATTGAGCCGAAGGTCGTGGGTTCGAATCCCGCTCGTGACACTAGATTTTTCATTTCAACCAATACCTTACATAAAAAAATTAAAGTTTGTTAAATAAAAGTGAATGAATTGGAAAGGTGCTAATTAGGGCAGTTTCACATATTTTACATCAATAAAATGCCCATTAACATCATAATTCCAGGGATGGTAACAACACATGCATAAAGTATACACATATAAACATTTATTTTCGAATTAACCCTTTTTTTTAAACATATATAAACATAATACATAGTACAATAATTGTTCGGTCCATTACCGAAACTCTTACTCGCTATTATATACAGATCACTGGGCTTTTCTCCTGAGCAGGTATTTCACCACAACCGTGTGAGGGGGCGGCGAATTTCCTGTCTCCAAATTAAAGGTAAAATCACTCACAAAAATATACTTAACTATATTTACAGACTGGCTTATGTATGTACAGAAAATTTACAGTTTATGTACATTGTTTTTAAAAGACAAAGAGGAAACAATCAGAACATTCTGTGGAGTTTCTCTATTGTTTCTTTTTGGAACTTGATGTGCACATTAATGTTGAGAATACATTGAGATTAAAAATTACATATATTTAAAAAAATTTATTATAGCTTAAGTTTATATTATATTTAACAATTTACAACATACAAGACGTTCCGTATTTATAAAATAGGTTACACTTAGTATTTTTTTTTTTAATTTAGATTTTAGGGTTTAAACATAAAAACATAATACTGTAAAATTTGGTCAATGGTTTTACATATGAACTATTAATAGATGAATTAAAAAAAAATTTTATATACATTTTTAGAATCAACATTGAAAAATATATGAAATAATTGATCTTATATTTGTTTTTGAAGGTTTTTAAATATATTTCAGAGTTATGTTTTAATTAGCACATATTTTATGCATTTCGTATGATAAAAAATTTTCTATTTCAAGACAAGAACAGATTTTTACAAAACAGTCGGAAAATTGGGTTCGCCAGTTTATCTCGACCGGTTGAACTCGACAAGAATTTGAAATTCAGATTTGTGAACCTTATAAAAACGAAACGATATGAATATTATATAAACTCGGCAATAAAATTTCTAATATTTACACGGCCGGTTGAGGAAAGTGGAGGAAGTTTTCCCGAGGATATTTATTTACAAAATCAACACTTCGTCAAATGAACGAGTACCCTGACAATCCTATCGATAAAAGGGGGATCACCGTCCGGGAGAACTGTTGGGGATCAGCCCACGAGGGGGTTGAATTTAATCCAATTAGATGGCCTCTCTTTTCGAAATAAGAGCGAACGTCAGACCTCAGGAGGAATTCATCCTTCCCGGCCAAAAGGGAAAAAGTTCGGACAGATTTCCACGGTATCAGACCTCCTTCTCCTTTTACACCTTATTACTCTTCCTTTCACAAAAAGGAATAAAGTATACTTTCAATTCTACATTTTCCTCTGTAGACTCTGTCGGAAAAAATAGGTCCATTAATGGGAAGAATCTCGTATGTGCATGTCTGGCGACTATTCGCCAAGTCCTTGGCAAGCATTTTTTCATTAAATATTTAAAAAAGTTAATAAACTGAATTCTTCGCGGCGACTCTTTCACACGCATGTACGCCGTTCGCGTGGAAACGATAAGTAAAATCGTCTCCTGCCGCTGAAAAGCATAAATAACATGGGCGGAAAGTTTTTCAATTAATTATGCACGTCTTGCTGTAGTTCACGACTCGTAATTTTGCCTTTTCACCAAGTTTTCTTGTATTTTTAGAGCAACGCCGGGACTTAAAACCGTCGTTAATCATGTAATAAATTTATTTTACACGATAGCAGTTGTTTCTGAGGGGGTTTCACCGACGAAAACATTCTCAAATAACTCACATCTAAGAATATAGAAAAAAACATTTTTCCGTGTACATAATAGAAAATAATGTAACTTATAAATCGTATTTTCCAGCAAATACATATAAAAAGATTATTTAGATTACAAACTCTGTATTGTAACAGGCAATAATAATTTTAACAAATTACGAATTTTATACAAGAATAAAACAACGATCCAAAATAATGCGAGAATATAGCATTTTTAAGAGAGCATGTCACGTCTGGAGAGAAAAGTAAGTTATAACCTAGAATAGAAAACTCTTGGGTGAGTGTCTGGACTTCTGGTGAGGATAAGAAAAGTTATCGGTGAGAATGGAAAATTTCTGAGACAGTAAGTGACGTCTGGTGAGGGAAATAAAGTTACCAGCAAAAATAAATAACTCTTACTTGAGTGTAGTTTTCCAGTGAGCAAAAAAACTTATCCGAGAGAACAGAGAACTGTGTGATAAGTTTCTAATGTCTACTGAGTAAAAGAAAGTTATCAGCGAAAATGAAGAACTTTTGCGCGAGTGTTTGACGACTGCTGAGTGAGAATGGAAAACTCTTGATTCAGCGTATGACGTCTGGTGAATAAAAGTAAGTTATCAGCTAGAATAGAGAACTCTTAGTTAAGTGTGTGAAAATCACTGGCTTCAATGGAAAACGTTTGGGTGAGTGGGCGACGTCTGGCGAGTAAAAGAGATTTATGTGCAAGAATGGAGAACTCTTGGGTGAGCGATTAACGTCTGGTGAGTAAAAGAAAGTTATCTGCAAGAATGGAGAACTCTTGGGTGAGTGTATAACGCCTGGTGAGTAAAAGAAAGTTATCTGCAAGAATGGAGAACTCTTGGGTGAGTGTATAACGTCTGGTGAGTAAAAGAAAGTTATCTGCAAGAATGGAGAACTATTGGGTGAGTGTGTAACGTCTGGTGAGTAGAAGAAAGTTATCTATCTGCAAGAATGGAAAACTCTTGGGTGAGTGTATAACGTCTGGTGAGTAAAAGAAAGTTATCTGCAAGAATGGAGAACTCTTGGGTGAGTGTGTAACGTTTCGTGAGTAAAAGAAAGTTATCTATCTGCAAGAATGGAGAACTCTTGGGTGAGTGGGTAACGTCTGGTGAGTAAAAGAGAATCACTGGCTTCAATGGAGAACTTTTGGGTGAGTGGTGGACGTCTGCTTATTTAAAAAAGTTATCAGCAAGAATGTACAATTCTAAGGTGAGTATTTGATCTCTGGAGAGTGAATGAAATTTATCAGTGAGCATGAACGAGGTTTAATTTCGAGGAATATCGTGCACTTTGGCGATGAGTATATTGCAAGGCTTCGTTGTTTATAAGAGGTGTCGTTGGTTCTACTGATGCCAGGCGTGTTATTCCGACGTATTCAGCCAAGACACTGTGGTTTGTTGGTCTCAGGGGCGACTGGACTTAAACCTCTTGAAGGTAAAACATTACCAAATTTATACGAAACAATTGTAGATTGAAATTAGTCAAAACACATTTTTTTTTAAAAAGAAGACTGTTTGTAATTTTGTTAGCATTTGATAAAACCTTTTAATGCTATTGGTCGTGTGTTTGTATTGTTTCTCTGTTATTCAATTTTTGTTAGTATTGGCTGCTTTTTATATAATGATGTGCATTTGTTGAAATGGGAAATGTATTCACCAAGAGGATTTATGTTGCATGCTATTTATTACCTTTCATTTAGAAATTGTGACCGACCAATGCTCATGTATATTTATTGCGACGTAAATTTTATTTATTTTGTCTGATTCGATAGATAAAATTAAAGTGCCGGGGTATTGTGAAATTTGAATTGTTGGAAAATGCAGGGTGGTGAAAATTGAGAAAAGTCGCATTCAGCAATAGTGGTTTGAAAGGAGAAAATAATCTGAAAAATCCATAGAAAGGTTCAGACGGCTATTTCCTGACGTTACTTTATTCTCCTCGGTACCTTATCATTGTCCGGGCCATTTATTTTTATTTGGAATTTATTCAATATTTTCCGCCTGGAGTCGGGTAGGATGAGGAGCAAAAACGGAAATAAACCGTCGGAGAAGATCACAGCATCCTGAGGATGAGGAAAATAGCGAAAAAGTCGGCCCGCAGCTGAGGCGAGTAATTGTAACTGTTGAGGAAGTGGGTCAGGGGGAATTCTGGCGATGCGCACTGCATGAGCGGCGGCTGGAAATGCGTCGGACGTTCTTTTGTCTCGGATTTCCTCTCTTCCGAGGATTGGCCCAGGAAGAGGAGGATGTTTCCCGAAGAATCCGACTCGATTCGTACCAATTCGTACTCTGTCGTCGGAAGTTTGATCCCAAGGGCGGTACACCCGCCGGATGGTGTCAGATCGCGAGCTACTCCCACCTAGAAGAAAAAGAAAATTATTAATAAGAATTTGTTTAAAAATATGTTCTAATAAAAGTTCTAGTGCGCAGTAACGGTACTGTTAAGTTTTAAAGTTATTCTGGCAACTGCTTACAGCTTACTAAATTTTTGTTAGGCGAATTGTTGGCAGTCTGATTTTGATATGCTTCTGTCTTCTTAATAACAGCCAATGTTATTTATTAAACAACCATGGCAGCACATACAGTTGTAGTGACTACATGGGTGTTAGTTAAGTGTGCACCAGGTTTACACATTATCAAATGCCTAACACTGAACAACACGTCTATAAAAACATCGGCTCTTAAAAGGGCACTACTCGATCTCAGTCACTAAAATGAGAATGAGGTGATATGACTACAAGACATTACCCCTCTGCAGACAGGATCTTTCTTAAACGATGTAGATTCTCTCCATTTCTCAAAGCCCAAGCTTTATCTGCTGTAACTAGTATTTAATTTTAAACTCAACTCTGTTTTGCTTAACAGAAAGAAAGAAATTTTTTGTATGTTTTTACCCAAATTAGCCAATGTACATTTTATGTGGGACATCGTAAGACAGACAGCTGATGGTTTGTGGGCCTTATCTTTTGCTTACATATCAGCCCTTCCATACCGTCCAATCTCACATGAGACTTAACTGTGTACGGGGAGACGGGTATGACTGCTTGAGGCTTATGAATTCTTCACCTAGGTGCACTGTTGGCAATCACCACTACTTAGACAATGCTTTCGTCCTTTAAATAACAGCCAATGAGTATACAGCTGTTGTGGCTTCTTGCGGCTTACTAATGTTTCCACCAAGCATATTCCTGGCAGTTACTACTTCTTCAACAGTACTTCTCCCTTACAAATAACTCGCAATGAGAATACAATCGTGGTGAATGACGGTAGTAACAAAATTTTTCACTAGGTTTTTCATTGCTGTAAGTCACCAACACTATTACAATACTTCTTCCTTTCAATAACACTCAATACATCATTCCTCTATTTAGGCAAGAACACAACTGGAAAAAAGTCCGCATACGTGTCCCACGTGTTCCTCTCAATAACTCGCATTCACGCAACAGTTGTGACCTTTATCAGACATGGTAGTCCACGAGAGTTAGCATAGCCTCACCAACATCCAATTCACTAACGAACATACCTGTAAACTAAGTTTAGTTATAAATGAACTAAGAGACTTCAAATGCTTTTATCTTATTCTTGAATTCCAATCGACGATCCCCAATTATCATCAATCTTGGTTTCGTGCTCGAGATTTCTCTGTCCGACAGTAGTCATCGTGTTGCAGGCGACATCGCCTCCTCCTTAACCTTAAAGAATGTTTCACCGGAATATTCCTCGATGTCGCCATGCACTCACTTCCATCTTCACAAGCCGAGTTTGAAAAGGTTTAACATGTCCACGATGAAATTGTAAGTGAAAAATATCCAATGCTTAATGATAAGGTTTTAATGTATCTGAACCTTTAATTGTCTTTGTAACGTGACAAAATAGTGGATGCTCACTGGAAATATTTAATTTGGTTAGAAAACCGAGAGATCACCTTTTTGTTACAGTTATTTAAAACCAGTCGAACAGGATCGAAAAAGGTAAAAGGGTCCGTTTTAAAAAGAACCGAGAAAATTGAGCCGGGTCTTCCGGCTGTTCTAAATTAAAAAGGAGGTCATTACCTGCCATACTCCGGGTGGTCCGCAGCTGCCGTCGTCCTGCAGACTCTCGGCAAGGCCTTTTTCAAAAATGGTTAGGAAGGCCCTTTCGACGGCGAAGTCGAAATCTACAGCGCCGTGCACTTTTGAAACGACGTCTTTCGCAAGCATGTAGACGCCTTCAGCTGCCGCCAGAAGGGTAGGCTTCTGGCAGCGCGGCTCGGAGAAAAACCAGTACTCGGCATGCCAAGATTTACCTAAAATGACAGTTGTACTTGTAATCTCGGCATATTTGCTTTTTTAAACGTGCTTACCGGAAACTCTGAACCGACGCCTGAGGAAAAGGCCGTTTTGCTTGATCTCGCACCTCGTCGAGACCCACTCGCCGGAAAGGTGAAGAGGCAGAGCTGGCTGCAGTTCGAGCACGGGCGGGTAGAGCAGCGTAGATTCCTGCACCTGCTGGCAGGGGACGCAGCTGGACGTCTGAAACATAATTTAAATTAAAAATTTAAATTCAATTAAAAGTACCACAACTGAATGCAGACAAAGCCTATAAATTGTAAATGATTTAATTTATTTTGGAAAAATTTATGTTACGTACGCTTATGACAAGCCACACCTACAATGGACTAAGTCCCGCCTCATCTCGAAAAGTAGGCTGAGCTATGGTTAAAATATCATTAATCAGTAATTAATGTGAATTAATTATTATTCAGTGATTGCTTGTTAAACGATCATTCATTGATTAATTATTATAATGGAATATTTATTATTTTTTAAATGCTTGAAAAAATAGTGAATTTCTCAAAAAAGAAACACCTATACGACTTAGGAAAGTTAGGTCTTTTATCATATCCTGACAAATAGTCTAACTTATAATTATAAAAATAGTGTGCAACTGTCTTTCTAAAATATTTTGCGTTAAACAAGCACGCCAGAGTCTGTCTTGGTTTATGCGTATTTTAGAGAGAAAAAAATGTAATTAAACATCAAGCCACGCCTACTCTCCAAAAGTAGGCTGAGGTAGTAAAAATTTCATTTATCACTTTTTGATGAAGATTTTAATTATTATTTATTTCTTAAATGCTTGAAGAAATCAATTATTTCAGAAAAAACAGTTGTAATTGTGTACTTTTTCTAAATAAATATACTAATCAGAATGGTTCTTACTTTTGATCGTACCTGACTATAAAATTTTAATTATAAAAACAGTATAAAGTTTTCACAATCTATTCTGCTAATCAAAGCCCAGTTTCCTCAAGTATTTCAGTAAGAAATCCGTTATTAAAGTACAAGCTACGCCTACAATAGACTAAGCCCCGCCTCATCTCGAAAAGTAGGCGGAGTCATGCAAGTATCTTTCTGAAGTATTTCGCGCTAAAGAAGTCGGCAAGAGTCAGTCTTGGTTGAAGTCCATTCGTGAAAAAGTTGTAATTAAATCAAGCCACGCCTAAGATGGACTAAGCCCCTTCTCATCATAAAAAGTAGGCGGAGCCTGTGTTGTAATTACATTAATCAGTGACTAATGTGATCCATAATTATTCAATGTTTAACTGATGAGATTTTGGTTTTGTTTATTTGTTTAGGTTTGTGTTTAAATAGTTTGGAGGAAACAAAGTCGTGCTTTACAGACATTAAAAAAACAATTTCCCCAAAGATTTTGACAGTAATAAATAATTGTTGTTGGCTTTTGGAATTAGTTTTAAACGACGCCTAATTTTATAAAATTTGACTAAATTTGTTTGACCATGTTTCTAAAGAATATTCTGAGCAATACCTGATAAAATTGGAATCCAAAAATAATAGGCAGTTGTATTTTAACGGTGTATAAAAGCCGGCTAACACGCCCGGGGCATGGAAGCTTCCTCCCACGGCCGATCGAACGCCATAAACTTCTATCGGCCACTAAATAAACCAAAGCTCTTAAAACAAAAGCTACATAAACCAGATAAGGGTATCACAGTAAATTTGCACCCGCGGTTTCCTTAGGTTGTTTAAACTCCCTTTACAACGTATTTCCTATTACGCCTTCCAAGCTATGCAGGCAATTTTCGATTTCATACATAAAACTTCTCGAATGGCTGGTTGAATGTCAAAACGTATAGTCTGTAGTCGGTTGTAGGTTAAATGTACGATTTGACAAGACGATTATTTTCCAAGGCACATTGCACCTTGTTAAACAAAGCCAGAACGATAGAAAGATGAAGACATATTTGTCAATATGTACTTGAACAGACAATTTTTGACTTGAAATTATATTAAAATAATCTTTAATAAGTTTGTTTACAAACGTTTTTCAAAAATTTAATATCTATTTTGGATGTAATTTGATTTAGAAGTTATTAAAATTCTTAATTATTCCAAAGGGTATTGTTTTCTTGTTTGCTATATTTGTTTAACCAACAGAAACAGTTTGAATGAGATAATTATTAAAATTTTAGGTAAGATTTAAAGAAAAACATTTTTATTACGGTATTTTCAGAAAAGCGTCTAAAAGTCACGGCCCGTGTAAAATTAATACGAATCGGGAACAGGAATCTATCCAAACGAGAGAATTTTCATTAAGAAAGTTTTTTTTTAATTTCTGTTTGACAGAAGTTGAAATCCAATTAAAATGGCTTCGGGATGAAGCCCTTCGGCTTTCGGCCGGCTCATTTTCCACCCTGTAATCGCCTTAGAACGTACCCGATTATTAATATCTGGCCGGGGAAGGAATCAGCCCGGCGGCAGGCCTCGGATGAATTCCCATTCCGAGGGTTATGCTTCATTGCTATCGGACCGGATTGGTTTTTTACGGCTTACGGCTTAAAACAGAAGATTTAGGTGATGTAATTTTTTTTATATCCCGGTTCAAAAGTGATAACGCGACAATTATTTTCTTACAAAAATCTTCCGTAGCATTTGGAAGAAATTGGAAAACAACTTTAACTTAAGTCGCAAAAATAAAACACAATTGCCCAACATTCCACTCCCGTAGCAGGTAAATAATGCTTCAATTTAAAGTATATCTGCATCAAGTCACGCCCACAAGAGACTTAGCTCCTCCTGTTATCTCACATTAGGCGGAGCTAGTTATATGACTGTTAATATTAAGTTTATGTTTTTATTTTAGTTATTTTAATTCGGACTTTGTACCATGATTTATCCTTAACATTTTTTATTTGTTCGTAAATCCTACCTCGACATTGACTTTTTGAATTAATTGCTACAGCAAATAGTGGCATTACGACATATTGAAGGCAGACTTAAAAAAAATAAATAAAATTTAATATTTGGCCTTATTTTTTGACCAACCTATTTTCATATAAAAATCCTGTTAAACAATTTTTCTGAAACTTTACTGGTTTCTTTAAGAAGCCCAGCCAACGCCAACATTAAGCCAAGGATGGATGTAAAAATTTAATTAACCGATAAGCCACGCCCTCGATGCGCCAAGGTCCGCTTCATTTCCAAGCGTATGCGAAGCCAAAAATAATATCAGGCCGTTGGAATAGTTAACATTTTTTTATTTGGGATAATGTAGTTTAGAATCGACAATAGAAATCAAAATTAGGCAATATAAAGAAAAAATCGGGAAAATTAGTCAAAATAATAGGTAAAAAATTCTTAGATCCTAGGAAGCATTCTTAAAAAAAATAACTCTGAGATTAAATATATAAAATATTTATTCCCCTGAGCACTATTTGATTAATAAGTCAAGTTGTAAATGTATTCTTATTAATAGTATTCTAGAAAGGAAATGAGGTGTCACGTGAAAATGTACTTTAGCGAAACAACTTACAATTAACGAACTTAGTATAATCTCATTCCAAGGTTGATTTTTTCCTCTAAAAATCAATAAAATCAGCTGATTTTATGAAGTTTCGTAATATTAAATTAAATAAAAAATCCTAGTTATGTGAAAACCTACATGACTTCACTAGGCCACACCTACAATTGATTTAGCCCGTCCTCTTACGACAGAGTAGGCGGAGACAGCTACGTGACGACTGAAATGATCGTTTAAACATTTTTCTATAATACAATTTTCTTTTAGGAATTCCTGTGAAGTAAGCTTATTATGTCAATGGCTATGTTTTTATTTATCAAGCGATGCCCATAACAGATTTAGCACCTCCTTCTATCCGAGAGTAGGTAGAGCCAGATGTGTAACGTTTGAAATTGTTAATCGAAACATTTTTAATTTGTAAATTAAATCAATTTAATTTACAAACTTCAGTGTGGTGAGATTATTTTGTACGCGTCGTTATTCGTCAAGATTTTCCTTTAACAGATTTAGTCCCACCTCATATCCCAGAGTAGGTGGAGCCAGATATGTGACGTTAGAAATTTTCGACTAGTACTATAAATTTAATTAAACCATAAGGTACGCCCAGGATTGGCAAAGTCCGCCTTATTTTTAAGAGTAGGTGGAGCTATCTGGCTGTTTGAATGCTCTTCACATTCTTTTATTTGGCAAAATTTTGTTTATACATGAAATTAGAAATAAATATTAGTCAAAATACAGAAAAAAAGAAAACTGTTCAAAATACTAGGTAAAAAATTTGGATCTTAGGAAACATTCTTCCAAAAATTTGTGATTAAATAAATATAATATTTACTTCTCTGAGCACTATTTGATTACTAAGTCAATTCTTAAATGCATTATTATTAAAAGGTATTCTACAAATAAAAGTTAGGATTCAGGTGAATGTGTAATGAAAACTTCATAAAAATGACTTGTTTGCTAAGCCAAACCCTCAACAAGTTGGCCCAACCCCTGTCCCAGAGTAGGCGGAGCCAGTAGTGGTGAATTAATCATGTTTGCTTGAAGTTGAGTCTGTTCATTAAACAATTTTTAGTTTTGCTAATTCAATTCGGCATCTAGCCCCCAATTGGTTCTTTCGCTATTCTTTGCCAATGATTGGTCTTGAAGAATCAAGCCCAGCTTTATTTTTGAGAGTGGGCGGTGCTTAAGGTTAAAAGCTAAAAATGTTTAAGTTTTGTTATTCAAACTATTTTTTTTAAATATTTACTCGGAACATTGTAGGAAATGTTTGATGAATGGCTTTTCCTGCTGAAAGGAAATTTATATACATTAATTTTTATCAGTAAAGAAATAAATATAATATTACGAAACAGATAAAGTATGATGTTATTTGGAGAGGAAAACCAGTCGGAGATTCTCATGGGATTTCGTGAGGGACGTAGTGTAACAAATGATCAAAGACAGCTTATTAATAGAAAACTCGTTTCTCTCTAATTTATCGCCCTCGAAACAAAACGGGCCGGGGTTGATACAAAAACATAAGTTCGGCGAAGTAAAATGAACAATGAATCATCATCTCCGAGACGAGATAGTCCAGGTGAAATACTGGGTTTAATTCGATATAAACGGACCGATACGTTTTCCTACCCACCCCGTGAAACAATAATTTCACCCGGATAATGGGCAATTTTTACGATTTCCGGGCCCGAGGAGCCGATAAATCCGACTTGACTGA